GTTTCGAAATTGTGTTTCATTTTCTTATTCTCCAAAGTTTGTTTTCTGTAAAGTGTTGCCCTGTCTTCTACTTCCGTTATCCCCATTTCAAAATCAAGTTGGCAGCGCTGAGAGTGTGAATGAATGTTTCATTTTTGACACCAAGCAAGTGCTCATTCTTCACTTTATTCGTACAGCTTGAAGAGCGTAAACGTAAAATTACAAACAAAAAATAAAAAAAGTTTTCATATATAAAAAACTCAACAAAAGACGAGAAAAAAAGTATTTATACATTGTGGAAGGCAATAGTTGACGATCTTCCACGTTTACTTTCGATTATTGCGTACCATTTGCCTTTGATATTGACTCTAATTGACTGTCGCGATGTCGTCTCTGTCCGATGCCACCAAGGTGCACGTTGCCAAGTGCCTGAGCTGCCCGGCTCAGGGCAACCTGGGCCGGCGCTACGAGTGCATCGTTTGTGGCGACTCGGTGACCTATTGCGGCGACTGCTATGAGCAGGGCAAGAATGCGCCCAGCGAGAAGCACAAGTACTATCATCCCATGAAGGCTATCTATAATCGCGATTTCTTTGAGCTCTATTTCCTCGGCGAGGAGATGGTCAATGGCGAGGCTCCGCAGAGCTACAAGTGCGCCTTCTGCGATGAGCTGGGCTTCACGGCCGAGGAGCTGCAGCTGCACGTGGTCGAGAAGCATAGCGGACACGGCGATGCGCCCAAGCTGCTGGACATTTTGGTGCAAATGAATGAGCAGAAGAAATGTGAGTATGCGGCGGGGCTAACGGGGGGCTGGCAGCCAGCGTCAGCTCCTGATTCAGCTGCCTCGCTCTTACCCTAATTGCTGCGCTCTCGCTATGAGTGTTAGGGAGGGTTAGGAGCGGGGGCTGGTGTGCCAGAGTGGAGCCTAATGGAGCGCGCCGCAAAAGCCACTTTAGCAAATTGCCGGGCCACAACACAACACAGCTGACCAAATGGTCGATGCTGGGCGAGCGCAGGGTAATACGATTTCTGCATGGCTTGTGAGCCATGTAGAAAGTAGAGTCAGTTCTGCATAGGTTTATGGTCCACTTAGTTAGTTTTGCATAACAACAAATTTGATTTGTATTAATATGTATGCAAAGATTTAAAGGAATAGGAACCATTTTTTTTTTATATATAAAGATGGGATGAAATGGGCCTTTTATGCCGATTTAATTTATATTGCAATTTATTTTTTCTTTTGTAATAATTATAATTAGTCACTAGCTTTTTTTTTTTTTTTTTTTTTTTTTTTTTTGTTAATAATAATAGAAACTAATTTAATTTCAGAAATTGAAGAGATGTCTCTAATTTTCGTCCGACCGTTCCGATTGAAGTTTTCCTAGCGAACTTTTATTTTTATGCAAATTTTAATTTACATGAA